CGGAATGCGGGCCGTGTTCTCGTCGTCAATGAAGAGCGGGTCGATACCGTACGGACACATGCGCTCCGAGCAGTCGTAGGAGCCGTAGCCGGCATCGCAGTGACAGGCCAAGCTCTGGCTCGATCGATTTGATTGGTTGTTTTAGGGATACCACGAAAGGGCAGCGGCGGGGCAGGTTGGGAAGAATATGAACACACAGTAGTCGTGACAGCTTCTTGTTGTTGAGTCCGGTGCTTGCTTCAATGACGAGGTTTGTAACGTTGTAAACGCAGTAGGCGACGGTGGAGAAAGGGGGGCGAGCAAGCAAGATCTTGTGGCCACTGTTGATCCGTGAGATGGGCTGACGTTTTTCAGTGGTAGAATACTGGTTCAACACAGGCTTCAAAGACACGATGAAAAACCTGTCGAAAGCGTGAAAATACATTTCAGGGGGTTGGGCGACCTCCACACGTGTTCGGCATGGATTCGGACGCACCAGCCGTGTCCCACGGGGGAGGACCCCACCGTAGTTCTGTCGGGTTTTTTCTCGGACTTCTTCGACGGTTATTGTTGTTTACTTCATACAAAAAATCGTCCCGATCTCTTTATCTAGTGCCTCCCATGTCTGTTTTGATCTCATCCTTGACACGGTCGCATCCCGTGGTCACAAGCGAGATTACCCTGAAAAAGGTACACATGAATACCAAAAATAAAAACAATTGGACCCAAAGGATCCGGTGCGTGCCGGAACCCAAACATCTCAGAAAACCATAGTAGCAAACCTTAAAGTCTCACCATGTCCGCGTCCCACAGCTCGTAGATGTTGTCGTGGTCATCCGCAGCGAGCTCGCGGTTGGTCTTGCAGACGCCGTGGCCAGAGCAGTCGTTGGGGCACGACGCGCGCTGGCAGGACGTCCCCTCATAGCCGGCGAAGCACATGCATGTCGCGGTGGTTCGGTCACACAGGCCCTTGTTGGAGCACTCCATGTAGTAGTGTGCGGTGTTGTCGATGATGGTGCCGTTTACCTTGTGGTATACACGTTGTTGAGTCGAACGCAGAAGGGGAAAGATACGATTTAAGCACACAGAGGATGTAACTGAGGTGTGGGCGCTCATTTACAGACGAGCATAGGCCGGGTTCATTCACCCTGGCTATTGTTGGAGAGCTCCGTGCAAGGCAGGTATTATTGCGCCGGTTGATGGCACTTTTCTTATTATTGTCCAAACAGATTGCGGTATACCCCAGACAAACCGTCTTGGATTTTGCCCGAGAGAGGCAAGTATGGGTTGCGGACGCATCGCTATTCACGGAAGGGTTTTGCGATGGAGGTTGGAACAGCGCCTTGAAGATGATTGCAAGTGGAGGATGTGTAGGTCAAGGACACCTTCATGCATACCATCGCTGTCGAACGAACAAATTGCACGTACGAAATTAGCGAGAGGCATGGAAAAGTAATAGGACGCTGTAGTGGATGGGGAGTATTTCCTGCCCACGACCAGGATACCGATACCCTTTAGCTCTTGCATCGTAAGGCTTCTTCTTGAAACGTGGCCCATTGGTTCCTTCGTGCCGTAAGCGTGGCAGTCAGCATTCTCCATCTTTGAGGGGGCCGCCAGCACGTCGAACCGGGCTGACGGCCTCCTTAAAGGTGATAAAGCTGACTGCTACGCCGACGGCATCCAAAAACCCGCGGGTTACCTTCGAGGAAGAAACCCTTCAAATGCAAGAGAACTACAGTCACTAGACCATAACACAGCAGAAGTTGGAGATCTGAATGCTGGAGACAGGTCGCAAGTACAACAACATGACGTACAACAGAAATACGTACAACAACATTTCGTAACCAGCAACATGATGTTCCAATGTGCGTAAGTTCTGTGAGACTGCGAGAGGTCAGGAGGACATTACAACCCGACACACGATTGAACGTGTCCGTCGCGCATGACATTGATGGGCCGAAGTGTGGAAGCTGCGGCGGGAACGGCTACAGCAGTAGTCATGTTGCTGTGCAACTACAAACATCAGTCGGGGTGCAAGACACCATTTTTACGGTTTCGCCCTGAGCGTATTGTACTGTACAGTAATCAAGCCCTATTTTTTCTTCGGTAGCGGAAGGGAGCCAGGAGGCAATAAGCGAGGGGGCTGCCACGGCGAGCGAGGGGTTGTTGCAGGACGGCAGATATACCTTCCGCTGGTTGGATGTTCATGCTGGGTTGATGTTCTTGTAATCGGTGTTGTGATATGGCACGAACAAGATCCTTGTTACGACGAACCCCGCTTCCTCAGGAAATAGGATACCCGAGAGAACTGCATAGACTACAGCAGTAGCTCCACGCCCCACCAAGCCGCACCGACACAAAAGCAACGCCGACACCCTAGCACCGACTGAGGATCACGCCCGTTCAAGAGTGACTCTACCGGCAGGCTCGCCCGAGAAACCTCTCGTGCGCTGCTGCCTGATGCCTTGCCAACACGCTGCTCACCGTGGCCATGATGGGGAAAAGCTCGGAGGTGCCATCCTTGTACATCTGCGACCCCTCGATGACGGCAGGTCGGTACTGAAGCTCGTTGTCCATGTTAAGATCTCCCTTGGGGGAGTCGACGTGCGCAAGGCCGAAGGGACAGACACGCTCAGAGCAGTCGTTGGCCATGTACCCTGAGTAGCAAGTGCACATGTCGTAGGCCCCGCAGGTGCCGCGTCCCGAGCACGCGTTGGGGCACTCGGCCACCGCGAGCTTGGCGGCACCGGCCAGGGCCCCCAGCCGCAACAACAATCCGGGCTTCATCGCGGGAGTCAAGAAGTTCCGCAATGTATGCAATGAAAACGCCACACAGGACTCAAGACTGCGGTTGAAGGGGGCAGGGCGTGGGGCGTGGGGCCACAGCGATGAGTCTGTGTTTTACTTTCTCTCGGTGTCTACTGCGCCGACCTCCCATCTCGTCCAATCCCCGAGAACGCCGCAGATTTACCGTTTCACTTTTTCTTTTTTTTCGCGCGCCGAAGGTCCTTCGGCGGCACTGTAAGGGAATTTCCTGCGCACCCAATCAGCGAACAACCAATACTGTAACGGTCGACGTATTTCGTTTTGTCGACGCTCCGACCAACCATCCTCACGAGAAGAGCGAGGGTGCGATTTGCACCGCTGTACCGTAAGCACCTGCGTGTTGTCTGGGCACCTTGCAGATCGCAATGGCGATGACTGCGTCACAGGCTGAACATATGGTGCGTGGATCCTCTATGCTGCTGTGCGTCGACGCTTGAATCCCCCTGCTGGGGGCTCCGTTGCGTCCGTCAATATTCAAATGTCTGCACAATAGTGTATATATGTAGTACAGCAGCATTGGTTGCAACTGAGATGGGTGAATCATATTTTTGCTGTACATCAATACACTCGCTGTTCGCCATGTGGGTACTGATTGTAAAAAATGGTAAAAAGTTTGACTTCAGAGAAAACTACAGTAACGATAGGCTACAGTAGCTGTTAAGAGGACCCAAGGAGAGGAGTCCGGACCTAAACGATAGTCAACGGCATAGTCTGCTTGGTTATCGAACTACTACACCGCAACAAGACAAACCAGGCTTTAATTATCCGCGACTGTCTTCTACCATGAACAGCAGCAGCGGCAGCATCAGCGGTCACCACCACACGGGCTACACCCAATGGTTCAACCAGCAGCGGGATCTGCACCTATGCGAGCCCTCCAGCTGCTGCGAGAATCCCAACCGCTCCCAACACGCCGCCAGAGCGCGCCCACAACAATCCCGCTTCCAAGAGGTCCCCCTCCACCCCTACCGCTGATTGACAAATCGAGATCTGTGGCAGGAGCGGCGCTGCAACCGGGGGCACAACCCGCTAGAAATCACCCAACGCTGGCCGGGAAGCCTCCCCCCCCCGCGGCAAACCGCCCGCTAACAGTGCTCGACGAGCTGGGAGGAGCACGGCGACACAGCACCGGAACCGTCCTTGGAGCGGTGCCGAAACCCTTGATGCGTCCGCCTCCGCCGCGAGGCCCACGGCCACCTGCTTCATCCGGCGGGACGGGAACAACGGCGGCGATTTCAGCCGACCCTCCCGCCGTAAGAGCGGAACCCAATCTACAGGCGGCTCGTCTGGATACAGCACGGAGGAGGTCGAGCGAATTCAGGGCTCCCCCGCCAGGCCCCCCGCCGCCTGGGCGACAATCGGATGCGTTACTGCTGCCGCCGGGGCCTGTTGAGAGGCTGTCGCCACCGCATGGAGCACTGGTGCGCGCTGGGAGTGCCACACCGAAAGCTGCAGTTGAAGCAGCGACGGCAATCGGGGCACCACCATCACGAGCACCAGCACCAGTACCAGCACAAGTGCCAGGAGCAGAAAGGAGCGGAGTTGCGAAGTCTGAGAGTTTCCAAGACTCTGGATCAACGTCATCTGCTTTGAGACGAGTCTCATTCTCCAAGTATAGAGGCCCATCTAACAGTGGGGGGGACAAAAAATTGAGTGCCGGCAGAGACAGCACCCAACAGTACGCCGTAACCGCCGGCGGCGGTGTAGCCGCGGGGGGCTCTGCGGCTGGTGCGGAGGCAGGCCATGCCGCTCATCAACCTGGCAGCAGCAGCAGCAGCGCTACAACAGCCAACCCCAACCAGCCGCTACCGCAGCTAGAGCGGCGACGATGGAGCTCGCAGAAACTGAGCGGCCCGGGACGACCAGCGCCTCCCCGCCCTCCTGGTAACCCGCCCCCTCGTTCAATCGATGAAGTCCGGAGGTACTCCATCTCGAACGAGACCTCTGGCGGCTACATTTTCAGTCGCCGCATGGGCATGGTCGACCCCATCGGTGGCGAGGGTGGCGGCGGCGGTGGCGGCAGCGGCGGCGGCGGACCGCCATCATTGTCCGACGCTGTTGCTGCAAGCAAGAGCAGCGTCAACAACAGCAGCAGCAGCAGCAGCAGCAGCATCAAGGACGAGAAAGTCAGCAGCGGGGAGAGGAGAACAAGCCAGTTGTCCTCGAAAGGGCAGCCGGCCATCCTGTGGTACAACATGGGGGTCACCAAGCAAAAGGAGGGGAACGCCGTGGGGGCGGTGGAGTGCTACGGGCGGGCGGCCAGGGACGGACACGCCAAGGCGCAGCACAACCTGGCTGCGATCTTCGAGAAGGGGATGCCGGGGGTGCTCAAGAATGACGCCGAGGCCGTGCGATTGTTCCGGCTGGCGGCGGAGCAAGGGCTGGCGGAATCCTCCTACAGTCTAGCGATGCACCTCAAGTTCGGACTCGGTGAGATTGCTAATTTCTTTTGGGGTTGTGTCTTCCGAAACGCGGCCTCATGGCCTGTGTCGTTCAACGCTTTCGTCTGTTGCGCCGCATACCGTGTGTGCCGTGCGACAACTCGACATTAATGTACGTATCAATGCGTTGCTTTGAGACGAGCACTGGCCTTGCTGCCTTTGGCGGGGCACCATGAAGTACTGCTGTCGCTGATGTGGTGTATCAGCGTGACGTACTCTAGGGGCGGCGAAGAACGGCGGAAACCATGCGAGGAGACTTTAATGTTGCCTTCGCGGACCAATATCAACTCCCGTAGCGCATAGCTTTCGCTCGTCTTGCGCCTGTACTCCAACGTCGTGGATTTCCTTTGATGGAAAGCCGAGAGGTCGTCTGCGCTCGAGCGTCCGGGACGTTTCTCTTCCTAGTAAAGGCATGAACATAGTTTGTTATATTTGTGAAAATAATACATACGTGTTTTCGTTCAGCCTCGGCACCATCTAATTGTGCCTGTCCTTCTGAAAAGTGTGCCCATCGCGTGTGGTGCTGTCCTCGATGGTACAACAGGGATCGAGCAGGATGACGCGAAGTGCGTGTACTACCTGGAACAAGCTAGTGAGCAAGTGAGTTGGCGTTCGTGGTCTGGGCTAGGCGGTGTCCCGGGAGCGTTTTCCCTTGTCGTACTCGTGCCATAGTGCCCGCCGCCTGTGACAATTGAGATGCAGTATTGACTTAAAGCTGAGCCCAAACCAGTACCAACCAACGCGGCGGGTCCCAAACTACTCTTGGAAGTCAAACCTTTAGAAAAACACAGCAGAGGTGTTACGACACGTAGACGATTGCCGTTATTGAGTGCTTCGTCCACTCTCCGCACCAGATGTAGCTGCTGCTCCTACTGCCCCTTTCCACAAGCAGCTAATGCCTTTATCGTCAACGGTTGGCGCCTGATGCTTCTCCCTATTCCTTCGAACTTCGTCGCCCAACTCGACAGGGCCTGGCGAAGGCAATGTTCAACTTGGGGCTCATGTACGAGAAGCGCCGCGGGGTTAGCTCGGACGCGCCGGAGGAGGACTTGCTGGAGGCCACCCGGGAGTGCTACGAAGCGGCTGCTGAGGCTGGGGTCACCAAGGCGATGGTGAGACCGTTTCTTGTGTTGCTCCGACGAAATCAATGGGCGCCTGTCGGTGTACTCCCCGCTGCGGTTCTGTCCGTCACTTGCAGCTGTCTTTCCTGGACACAACAAACACAACGACAGGCCCGTAGGCGTCTCGACCAAAGCACGACACACACCCGTTTTGGGTCTTCCTAGGTGCCCATTTTTTCGAAATTGAACCACATGTTGATGTCCCGTGTACCACCTCCCGTAGGCAGGCATTTGGCCGTTGGAAGGTTTTTCTTCATCATCTCCGTGCATCATTGGTGGAATCGGCGTTTGACGCCCCACCGATCCCCCATCCCTGAATTCCCGCGCAGGTAAACTTGGGCGTGTTGTATCTGTCGGGACGGCTACCTGGACGGGAGCAGAGCGAGGCGCTAGGATACTTCAAGATGGCAGCGGATCAAGGAGACTTGTCGGGTGGGTCTCGGGTCTGTGTGCCATGACCACGTTTGGTAGGAATGGCTGGACTGGCGGAGCCAAAACACTGTGAACAAGCACGGAGGCAAAAAATCTGCCGAACCAATGTTTTTTGCCTGGAGACCAACAGTCAGCCTTGAATGGGCGTGAAAGTTGTCTATCCAGCGCGGTTTTTATTATCAATATACCTTGGTATTGTGGCTGCATTCTTCAGAAACCCTGACTAGCGTCTACCCAGTACGCGCATGTCAGTGTCTATCTCATGGAGGCACCGTTCAGCCTGTTAACACACGAACATTATAATCTAAAGTGACGTTCCCCGATACCGCCAAGGGAAAAAGACAAAAGCAGTAAGAAGGGTTGGTGATAAAACTAGAAATATAGTTTACATTCGGCGTGCTGCACAAGAGATGCGCAACTAACGAGGCTCATCCGATATGTGGAGGGACCTGGGTCTTGGTAATTGTAGCCAGGGGTAGTTCTTCCTCATTGTGTGTTTGCAAATTTGCAGTAGATCAGGTCGTGACGGAGCGAAACTCAACCTACGTAAACGCCGAAACATGCTTATATCTTTTTCCGCCGAGTGCGCCTACGCCTGGAAGGAGTTTCCCATGTCACTTGGCCTCAACAGATGCATCTACAGTACCACCACCTTGTCCATAGTCCCCGCCGCCTTTATTGACCGCCCCTCAATCAACCGCTATGCAGGGCTGTGGAACCTGGCTCTGTGCTACGAGCGAGGCATCGGCGTGGCCAGAGACCCTCTTGCCGCACAGGCGCTACAGCAGCAGTGCAGGGACCGCGAAGCAGGCGGTGGGCGGCTGTCGGTCACCGGCGACCAGGCTGGACCCCTGGCCCCGCACCAAAGGCGGTCGTCAGATCCCTCGTCCTCCGCTATGCCCCCTCCAGCAGCAGGCAACGGTAGCGATAACAAAGCGAACGGCAGCGAGAGCGAGGTCAACGCGAGGCGAAGGTCGTCCGGACGGCGGTCGTCGTCCGTCCCTCTCGTTACCCCTCCCCCACCGGAAGGAGCGCCGCCTCCTGCGGCCGCGAGAGGAGACCCCGGGGATAACTCCCAAAACATCAATCCGGAAATAGCAGCCACCTCCGCGCCTAGGTAAACACTAGGATAAGTCTACTTCCTTCGTTCGAATACAAAAGCAGATTTCCTGGCGTATGCTGCCCCTTGGCTCGGCGCTTCCAAGATTTTGCTTTCCTTTGCCTTCCCCACGAATCCTTACTCCGACGGCTTCGCCAGCGTTTTGATGTTGAATCCACCCGAATGCCTCTTCCTACCCTGCCGCCACAGACGATCGTCCTCGTCGCCGAAGCAGCCGTACAAATATGTTCCGAAACGTGACGTACCACTCCCAACCGATACCACCGACCGTCCGCGCACGAGCAGCAACAGCCAAGCGGCAGAGGTTCCAGCGGCGGGGAGAAAAATCAGGCGAAATAGCCAAGATATGCCCCAACAGGGGGCGGCGGACGACGCCTTGAGTCCAACGGGGGCACGGACCGGACGGCCCTCATCTGCGCCCTGGATCCCCCCCCCCCCCCCCCCC